TTCTATGATCCTATTTTAAAAGAATCATAAAATGTCATATTTTTGATGTAGTACATAAATTTGGCTCTTTCATTGGTGAAAGAAAAGATTTGAAAGAATTTCCACTTTTTGTAGTTGTCTTTCAGGTCTTCATCTTCATTTTCGTCTGAAGATTTAGACTTGAATTTCGCATCTCCACTGCTGTGATCGTTTTTTTTTTTTTTTTTCTTCTAGCTTGAAAAGGATATATTACCAATTATGTTTCTAGCTAGATTTAAAGACGTTAATACTTTTCAGAATTTAAAGGCTGAAAATGGTGAGTTGCGCCAGAGCGTTGCAAAGCTGCGAAAAGAATTAGAAGAACTGAACGAAATTAAGGAAGGCTCTATAGAAAGTGAATTTGGTTCACTGCATAAAACGAAACATTCTCTGGAGATGAAGTGTGCTGAACAGGTAAGAAATCCAAGAACTATGAATTATATTAAATCATAAACTTTCTCATAATGTTGTTGTTTCTTTTCTTTTTTTGCTTGAAGGAAGAAGAGCTCAATGAATTAACGGATAGAATGAAACAGTTGGAGCAAACCGTAACGAGGTTGGAAATGGCTGCAGAACGAAGTCGAACGGAACGTTTACGTGATTTGGAAGCTAAGGATAATGAAATCGATGAACTGAGGTCGCAGTATCAGAGACGTGTAAGATTCTGGTTTTTAATTTTTTTTTTTTAATTTTTCATTAATTTTTTGTGTTTAGAGGAGAAGTATCCCGTAATTCTTTCTCTTCCAGATTCGAGCTTTTGAAGAGCAAGTGGCAGATTTACAAGACACGAATTCATCTTTAGTAAAGCAGAATCGTATGTTAGAGGGACGTACACGTGATATAGATAATTATAGTGTTAGGTGAATTATAATTTGAATCCATTTTATGATGTCTGCCAACATTTTTTTTTTTTTTTTTTTGTTATATGATGATTCTATTTCATTGTTTGCTTTCAGTTTCGAAGCTTCATCAACTCATTATAAACGTGATTTGAGGAAAGCTTTAGCTTTATTGAGAGATACACAACGAGTTTTGGCTCGAGAACGAGAAACTTCTTTAAGTCAATCGATGATTTGTCAATTGCAAGAGCAACTGATGGATGCTGAAGCTGCAAAATTAAGTGCGATTCGAGGACGTCATTCTCTGGAAAGTGAACTTGCTGAGGTTAGAGCTCAGGTAAGCAAAACTTCACCCCTTGTGGATCACTTCTCCTTTAATCTTTCACAATCTTTATTCAAATTTTTTAGTGTATAGTGTGATTTATCCCCTTCCCTATCTTCCCTCCCCTCTCTCTCTCTCTCTCTTTCTTAACATTGAATTTTCGTGTTCTCAGCAAGGTTATTAAAAATTTGCCAGTTTTATTTTTTTTTATATTACAGTTGGAAGCTGCTTTAACAGCAAAAAATTCCGCAGAAGATCGGGCATTGGTACTTTTCAAAGAGAAAAGTAGTGCATTAGCGCTAGTTGAAGAACAAGATGAACAGGTGCGAAGTCTGCTTAAAAAATACAAAGCAGCGGTGCAGCAAAGTGCAGTTGATTCCATTAAAATTGCTGATCAATTTGAACAAGTTTGTATTCAGTGGTTGATTCTCGATTTGTTCAACTAGTTGGTTTAAGAACGGAATATTTCTTGTTAACTCAGCAATCAAATGACCTATTTTTGAACCATCTATGAAGCAATCGTTATTTTTGGAAAAATTCCATTGTAACAATACATTTCAGATGGCTGATATGGAGAAAGATAAGGAGAAATTGCGTGAACAATTGAATGATGTTTCATCAGCTTTAGAATATCATCAACAACATTCAGTTGAGAAGCATAAATTGTTATTAGCTGAACAAAGAATACGTGATTTGGAAGCGAAGTTGGAACTGGAGATTTCACAAAAACTTAGGCTTGAGGTAAACTGTAACATCATTTTTGGTTCTTGGATAGTCAGTTTTCTGTACGATGCTTTCATGCTTGACGATCTTAATGACTGTCGTTAATTTGTCTTCCCTTGTTTCAAACTTTGATTTGTTGCGTACGTTATTTAATCATTTTTTATTTGGATGTATGAGAGCATTCAAGGAACTCTTTTTATAGAATAATTTTAAAGGCTTTGATGGTAAAAGCAAATGACGAAGTGGAATCACTGAAAGATCAAATTCAGGAACTAAACAGCTTGCGTGAAAATGATCTTAATATAAACCGTAAAATACGCAGAGACACAATTACTCTCCAAGAGCAATTAGAAGATCTGCGTAAGAGAGAAATGGATCTTGCTCATAAATGCAAACAAGTTGTAAGTTGATATCAGTCTTTTAATATATGAAACAGCGTGTTATATCTGCAGTGTATGTGTTGGGAAATCGTTTAAACTGATTTGTCTTGTAAAATGGTTTGGACAAATTTGTGCAAAGCTTGCATGAATCAATTTAATTGGAAACATTTCGCGTGAAATCAATAAATTTGTGGAAAGCATAACTTATTTATTTAATTTTACATATAATGTATAGCTGTGAATATTAAGTGGAAAATGTTTTTTTTCTTTCTTTTTATGACTACCGATAATTTGAAAAAAATCTGACGATGATTTTTTAGGCTGTTGAACACGAGAAAATGGAAATGGAAAAACAGACCTTGATGAGGGATTTACAATGCGCCGAAAAGCGCATTGATGATTTACGGAAAGCACTAAGCAAAGATATAAGTGATAGAGAAGATGGTTCTGATGATGAGGATTTGTTTTCGATTCAGAATGGATCACTTACAGGGTATTATCAATAACTGAAACATTTTTAGTTAGTATAATTAAGCTTATTCATTCCTGAGAGATTCAGTCGTGTTTATGAATTCCTTCAGTTGAAAGCCCTCATATGCCAGTTAGTATGTTGTCATATTCTTATATATGTGTATGCATGTATGTATACGTACATATATACACATGTATATGTTTGGAAGCATGAGAATACAATATTATGTTATTATGATACAGTTGAAGCTATTCTTGATGAGTTAATGTAAGAGTTGATAGCACTTAAGATGATGAGAAATGAAGTCATTTATTTCCAACTGATGAATGACAGTTTGAAGTGCAAATATATCACTTATTATTTGAGCAAAAACATCTTTCACCACTGAATACCTTAATTGGTCTTTGATTCTTTTTTCAGCATGAGTCGTCTCTGAAACGACTTATCAATGTTTCATGCTTGTGATTCGCGATGTGCAAAATGCTCGCACTTTAATTCCAAATTATAATATATATACCGTTTTATGTCTTTGTTACCTTGAAATTTAAAAGCTTAACTTACCTGGTTCTTAAATTATTCTTATTTATTGATGATTCATTAAGGTTTTGTTTGAAACAGTCATTTTTATTTGTAATAGTATATCGTTCTGCATAGGAGAACAACTTTTCTTTCATTATGATGCGGCACTGTTAGTTTCTGCATTGTTCCAATCTGAAATGAGTATCCGTTGTAATGTTCTGAACAAAGGAAAGGGCAATCTAAGAATTGAAAGGCGCATTGCAAATCTTACGTTTCTGCATGGAAAAGTGATGAAAAGAATGAAAAAGTTAAGGGCAAAAAACATGCGATAATTTCTTATTTTAACATCCAAAAGTTAGGAAAGTAAGATGAAGTTCTCACCAACTCAAAACTTAAAATTACTGTTGTTTTAAACTTTGTAAAACTGTGTTTTTCACATACTTCATAATGCTACTGATCGAAAATTTACTCTGATTACTTTGCAGTTGTTTTACATGGTTGTATGATTTAGGTTGTGCATTTTGTTATTTTGTAATTGCAGTATTCTCAAATTTTAAGGTTATCATTGTATCATTACAAGATTTATTTGCAACTAAAATTACAAAGATGGGGGAATATTAATGGAGTAATCTATTTCGATATTGATTTTTGTCTTTAGAATAGATATTCGTCTATTTTATAACAGCGTTACATCGAGTGCAGTGGTTTGAACTGTCATTGCCAGTGCATTTAGTAATCTTACATACCTGTTATTTCATTTCGACGGTATTGAAGTTTTGCTTTCTTCAATCAAACCGGCAGTTCTTTTCCAGAAATTGAGTACAGAGTTGGAGTTATATCACCGATAGACTGTAGCGCCCCTACTTGGGTGATTTATCAATCCTTGTTTTCGGTGAGCGAATTTGATGTTATTAAAAGAACATTGAACAGAACACAGGGTTCTCCTAATTAATATCAGCAAGACATAGGGTTTGGTGATGAGTTGTTTGGAATATCTTCCAATGGTAGAAGAAAATCAGTTCTAGGTTTTTTTTTTTTTCTTTTTTGCTTTTGAAGAAAACTTTTTTAATTTGCTTGTTGAGATTTATGGCTTGAAATTTTCCCAACAAATCTTCAAGTTAAGATTGAAGGTTTAGATGTGAGAGATATAGTTTTCAGAAAAAAAAATCAACCGAACCACAGCTGTTCGGAAATTTATATACGTAAATATAAATACTACATTATCAATAACAGAATGGATATTCCTGATTTCTTTCTTTTTTACGGGTTCGCACTGTTTTTCTTCATTGGTTGTTTAAGATTTCAGCTGGAATGGTGGTTTATTATAACAAAGCATATTAGATTAATTACTATTTCTTCACAATATTAAAAATCAAAGGTAAACAAATAACAGCCCGATTATCACTGTGCATGTAATTTGAAATATTAGAGATGCCAAATTGATATGCGAAAATCCAGTGCTTCATTCCAAATTCATATTTTAAATACAATAAAAAATTGAAATAAAATATTGAGAATGAAAGATTTGTGATCTCCCACTTAATAGCAAGAAAACATAGCATTTCTGGAAATAGTTCCACAAATGAAGGCGTATTTGAAAATATTTTGATATCTGGAATTGCATAACGGTATAGCTGATTACGAAATGTGGCCCATTTACTGATAGGCAATAGCAGATAGTTGGGTATGAAGTTTATGTTCGATTTGGGGAATATGTTTTGTACGTGATGTCAGGAGATTTAATCTTGTGTCGTTTCGGTATTGATGGAATCGAGACATTAGTGAGAATACTTTTTTATTAACTTTTAATTTCAGTTTGCCAATATAATAAAAAGTCATTAACGTCTGGCATTAGCATATCATAATTAAACAATTAGGGAATGAATGAAACTTTTGAGTTTTGGTACATTGGTTATATCAAACTTTCAGACTTATACATTTGTGATTCAACGATGCACGTTATAAATGTTTTAACTTCTATCCGTTGTTTATACTAGGAAAGCTCTTTAATCTTGCTAGCCTAAAAATTGATTTATATTTTAGAATAAAAAGAGAAAATACGATGTGGCAAGAATAAAGAAGGAGAAAAAGAAAAGGAAAAGAGAGGAAGTTGTTTCTTTGCACAAGTAAATTTATTGGAATAAATGACGCTTTACTCCGTTGGGAATTTCTCATTTTTTCAGGTGTACTCTATCATAGTTTTTCTTCTTTTGTCTAGCTTTAGTCTTCATTAATTCTAAGATTACGGAGAATTTTGCTGAATTGCTTTCAGTTCTTCACACGATTACTCGTCAGACTATTCGTGATCTTTTGAAGGAGAATAAGATTGTAGACAGTCAGATCTAATAATGTGTCAGTATTCAGAAATTGACTTCAATCATTTAGTTGATTGGCTAGTTAAAGTCTCAGAATTCTTTTTTTTTTTTTTTTTTTGACCGAAAAATCTCATCTTGTTCGTTTTTTGTGATATTGGCTTTGCGAATCACGTCAAACTTCAGAAACATTGAGCTGTTATATTTCAATATTGCTTGGTCCTTTCCACTCTTGTATCGTCCTGAAATGTGCTGATTGACATTTCTTTCCTGCCAGACGTAACGCGTTTATTATAATTTTTGGTTCTTGCGTTATTGTTTGTTTATTCCTGACAAAAGTTGTGTGATTTTAGGTTTTATAAAACTGTACATTCATCGTCCTTATTGCAACAATCGTCGTATCGAAACAGCTGATTGCTTGAGTGGTAATGATTCATCACTTGTGCTATTTCTGTACGCAGAACGTTTCCATGTCGTTATTACCAAAAAATGATTTTTGAATTGCTTTGTGTAACGTTGTTAAGAACTGAAATCATCATTAGAGTGGTGGTTTCCACCATACTATAAGATCTGGTAGGAGAATCTTCCCCTATTCAATTTCTTTTCGCTTGAATAATGGGGAAGTTACTATCAAAAATATTTGGCAAGCGAGAAATGCGAATACTGATGCTCGGCTTGGATGCTGCGGGTAAAACAAGTAAGCCTCATCGATTTTTCCAGAGTTCAACAAAATTTGTTGAGAATTTCTGAGATTTTTTTTTTTTGAAGATTTCCGAGACCATTATTATGGTCTAAATTTGCTATCAAATAGCATTATAATTTATTAGAGCAGTTCGGCAGATTAGTTGATGTTTCGATCATTTGATTTTTTTTATTTCAGCTATATTATATAAGTTGAAATTGGGTCAGTCAGTAACAACTATCCCTACTGTTGGTTTCAATGTTGAGACAGTGACTTACAAAAACATTAAGTTTAATGTTTGGGTGAGCTTTCTTGCGTTCAAAGAAATCATTTCTTTTTTCACTCATTTTAACATCTGTAAATTTTTTTTTTAATTTGTCTTTTTTCGTAATCTCCGTTCTGCTGGAGTGGAGAAAAAAATTTTTTTTGCACCTTTTTAAAGCACATATACGGAGTGCTTCATCCCTAAACCTAGTGTTTTTCATGTGATAGTCCAAGTTAGTAACACAGATTAATTTTTTAAATTCATGAAAACGGCTTGTGCTTTACTATTATTAGTAGGGCTGCTGTAGATGTGAATTGATAGTAATTACATAATGTTCATAACATTTATTTCGTCATCCATACTTTTCTTAAAAATCGGACTTGTAGGACGTCGGTGGTCAAGACAAAATAAGACCTCTATGGAGGCATTATTATACAGGTACGCAAGCCTTAATATTTGTAATTGATGCTGCCGATCGAGAGAGAGTAGATGAAGCAAGACAGGAATTGCATCGAATCATCAACGATCGCGAAATGCGAGATGCAATCATTCTTGTTTTTGCTAACAAACAAGATCTTTCAGAAGGTTACTTTTTTAAAAAAAAAACCTCTGAGTAAATATTTGTCTGATTCTTTTCGAAAACTCTTCACCCCTTTTTTAGAAATCTTTTTATATGATTACACAGATGGCCTATCCGATAGTGATATACAGTAACCAATAATTAAATATAATTTGGAACATGTTAGAGCATATATAAGTTGAAAGCATTGAGTGATCTTTGAAGATATCATGCTGTTTGCTAGCTTTTCGTACAAGCATTTCTTACAAACAGAATATTCATGCGGACCGAAGTTTCTGATTTCTAAAAGTGTAAAACATTAGTAACTCGAGCCATTACAAATAAATCATCTTTAAACATCTCTGTTAGTCCAGACATCGAATTTCTCTGACATCGATGTCGTTATGCTCATATCCTGTTTCTTTATGATTGCCTAGAACTTTCTGAAAGAGTTCTCTAATTTTTAAAGCTTTCGTTTCTCTTTAGAATCATGTAATTTAATCCAGTTAAAATTGGGTCAGTGGCCCTAAATGTTTGTTAAATTACAGCGATGAAGCCTCATGAAATACAGGATAAATTGGGACTGACACGAATAAGAGATCGGAATTGGTATGTGCAACCGTCTTGTGCTACAACTGGTGATGGTCTTTATGAAGGCTTAACATGGCTGTCATCAAATTGTAAGCCCTAGTTATTGTTATCCAGTTAGCTGATGGAACTATTGTAACGTCATCCTAAGTTGCCGTCCACAATATGTTCATTTTATTTCTCTGCTGTATTTTTATATGTCAAGTCATTTAGTATTCTATCATACTGTTCTAATAAGCATAATAATGACTCCACTCTTTAGCATGTCATTTCTACATATCTGACCAGAAAATAAAGTTAAAATTTCTGATGGTGCTGATTTGATCACTAACAGTAGTAGCTTGTCAATTACCATTTACCATTCTCAACTTTTTTTTATGATTTTTTTTCCATCCTTTCTGACAAAATTCGTTGTGCTCAGCTTAATATTCATTCCTTTTTTGTGATATTTCAATTTCTGAAGTTTCTGTGTTTCCCGTTTCATTTTGCTGCTACTTGAGAACTACTGTTTTGAACTTATAGTGTTTGTTATAATGACTTAATTCGGTGTTTTATTTTTATCGCAAATTTAACTTCGGGAGATGACAAGATTTCAATTTCATTTCAATGTTCGTGGGGTTGAATAGTTTTAGGAATCTAGTTGCAAATAGTGTTTGTTAACCGTGGTTCAATGCGGAGTGATATATCGTTTGAAATTATTAGTTTCCATCTCCTGTTTATGGTGCAACATGCATTCCTTAGTGATCGATATGTCTTTTTAGCGTGAAACGAATGATGAATATTTAGTGAAGTAATCATCCAAAAAAATGAAGTCATACGAGACAAACCATATAATTGCTTTTTGTGACATTTTTCTGTAGAATGTATGGTTCTCTACAGTTTGGATGATAGATATGAAAGAGGGTCAATGTAGTGTAGAGTATTTTTATTCAGTGTAGAGGTATCCAAAGGTTAAATTTATTCCTTAGCAGTTGTGAATAATGTAACTGTCATTACCGTGAACATTTTGTCATTTCTGTGGTCGTCGCATGTTCATTTGCATTTTGTATTTCAATTGTTTGAGTTTTCCATGCGTTCTTTTCCAGGGAACAAAGAATTGCGTTCCGTTACTTCCAAATTGCCAGAAAATGAAGTGGATTTTCTTCTTTAATTATAAACTGAAAGTGATTTGAAGCGATAACAATAACTTGGGGAACTACTATGGTGTTAAGGAAGCGTTGTACCATTCTTATAAGGAGCGTTGGTGATAGAGATTAGTTGCGAATTTCATTTGTTGCTGGATGGACATCATTCATTTTTTTTCTAATCCAAACCTTGAGGAAGGGCTACATGTTTGGTCACTGTGCTGGTTGTGGACATGGATGATTTTTAGGGCAAATATTGTGGTACAAAGTGAGGGATGGGGTTTGTTCCATTAAACAATTGTGGGCTGAACGTTTTTTTTTGGTTTTGGTCAAGACATTTGCTCCAGCTATCTTGAGGGAAACGTCAGAGGTAACCAGCTACTAGATGATAGTTCGATTTGTCCCCCCAATATCAAAGTCAGACGATCGATTTGCACGTCAAAATCGCTTCGGACCCTCACCAGAGTTTCCTCTGGCTTCATCCTACTTAGGTATAGTTCACTTTCGAGTCCCAGAATATAACGCTACCTCCGCCCGATTGCATGCAACAGGAATGGGGTTATGTTACACCATATGATATACTTTACATATACAAATATATATATATGGATCACATCATTATAACAAAGATAATCTTTATTTTCATTATGCTTTTTTCTTTTGAATTAGGTTTACTAACCAATAACTTGCGCATATGCTGGACTCCTTGGTCCGTGTTTCAAGACGGGTCAGATAGGTGATTAACGTTCACATCGATACATAACTTTGTTGCATACAATATTATAATATTACCAATTACTTTGACCGATAAAGTCGCATACGATTACATGTAAATATAACTAGTAAAATTATCGATACATGTCACTATTATTTCAAGTGAAAGTTATATGGGGAAACTTCTAAGACATATTTCAGCACATTTAGGATCCCATCAATTGAAATAATTGGTCCACTAAATTGATTGTACTAATTTGTTAAAATGCTCTGGATAATGAACAATAGATCAATTAAGATTGCTATCGATAATTTTCGTATTTCTATTCGTTCCCATTTCATTTTCACGCCCTCTTGACTCTCTCTTCAAAGTTCTTTGCAACTTTTCCTCATGGTACTTATCTACTATCGGTCTCGTGGTCGTATTTAGCCTTAGATGAGGTTTGCCATCCTCTTTGAGCTGCAATCTCAAACAGCCCGATTCCATACCATAACTTTTCTCACCTGTACAGGTCTAGTCCTTCTATGGACTGTAGCCTCGCTCAAGGGGAATTTGGGTGTAAAAATGTTAATAATACGGTTAGTTATACCTATACGTTAAATTTCCATGTAGCCCAATATCGGATTCAGCACTGAGCTTTTTCTTTTTAACTCGCCGTTACTAAGGAAATCTTCGTTATTTTTTTTTTTATTGCTTCGCTTAGTTATATGTTTAAATTCTGCAGATAATCATGACTGAGACGAGATCAAAGCAGTGATGATTTGACAGTGTTATTCTTGGCTTTACTCATTATTTGAAGTTTTGAAGTATTGTAAAATGATTTCTTGGCCATTATTGTTCATTTATTCATTCACATAGTGCTTCCTTTTATTTATTTCTCTTGCTTTAGGGAGTTAGAAAATTGAACTAATCATTGCAATGAAAATAAATGAATAATAATAATAATCTTTCATTGCTTTTAATATGGAAAATTAATCATATGTGTATACGTTAATAATATATGTATATATGTTACAATTATATGTACATATGTCACAGGTTTTTAATAAAGAAATAAAGTATTACTCATTTATTTGACCGCTTATGCGAGAATTTAATTTTAATTTCAGATTCTTCTCTTTTTAAACATCTGATGACTGTTGATTTATTAAATTTCTATCAAAAACAAAAAAAAAAATTCTCTCGTAACGTTTTACTTGAATGAATGAATATTATTTTTCATTAGTAATATTACTTTTATTAACTCCCAAAGACATCAGTAACTAACCTGATGTGCAATGTACGTTTGAAATCTTCTTGCTCAATGCCTATACAATTTGCATTATTTATCGCAGTTAGCTGTGTTTTTCATCGATCCACAAGCCAAGTGATCCACATCTAAGAGTTGAAGTTTTAATAATAATGTTGAGAAAAAAGTCTTTTTATGGTCCAAAAATTTTGCTTCTTACATAACGACACGAATATCTTCGTCCATTTTTCCTAACAATTAGATTAGAAACCAACAAAATAGAACCAACATCCTATTCCACTATCATATGCATGCCTATCGATTTGAGTCCGATTTGAATGAGTTTATAGAGAAGCTACTGTGACATAAATTGAACAGTAGGGTTTGTTACCGACTACTGGAAAATGACCGTTTTTTTTTTTGGTTCACTTCAGGATATCTAATAATGTAACTTATGATATGGATGGATAGTTATAGGGACAAAGTTAAAGTACAGTATCGGGTTCTCCAGGTTTTGAAATTGTGGCTAGCATATGCTATATTCAATACATCTATATCACATTTCGTGTTACCTGTCGACTTGACTACATGATGTATTTCTGAATGTGACGCAAATCGAAATACTGCGATACCAATTTTGAATCCTACCACTGATCGAGTCAAATAATCTTACAGAACCAATGCAATGATGCCATCATCTCTTTTACTAGAACTGTCGACGTCATCTTTAGCTATAATCTGGTAATATTTTAGTGACAATTTAAGTCAATTTGAAAAGCTTCTTAGCACAATGATAGGAACCAAAAAGAGTTTTTTTTTATTGTTATGCAGAATATCTCTTTAAAATGAGATAAAAATAAATGAAAAAGCAGGAAAACAAAAATGATTTTTTTTCTCTTTATAAAAAAAATTATTTGATTAACGTTGACAGATTAATGCAGTCAAAAATGCGATTTATAGTTTGGAATACTGTTATATTTAAAAACACAATTTACAGTTTGAGGTAAGTTTTCTTCGCTATTTTATGGAAATAAAAACGTGATAACAGTAATATTTTTCTGTTGATAATACAATCTCTTTTCGAAGATGATTAGTATAAATTATATTAATCATAGTCCGTCATTATTCATCGTTTATCCTCATCATTCATGAGATTTACAGATTCACCAGTGGTCTGATTTTCAATTATTTTGTCTTAATTAACTTATCGTTGAATTACATTGATAATCTTAAACTGTATTATATTCGTTATACATTAATAATATGAATCTTAATCGGTAATATTCATCACAAGTTCTATAATACAGTGGTAAAAGAAAAAAAAATTAAATAGAGAAATTGAAATGATGAAAAACAAATGTAATAATAATAAAAAAAAAAAAAAAGTACAATCCATATCTGAAGAACGTACTTCAAAAAAGCTAATTCTGCACTTTAAAAGTTTAATTTTTGATAGATTTTGATAAAATGAAGTAAAAGAAAATAAAAAATAAAAAGATGCGTAATATATATTAAAATGAGAAAAGAAAACAATTATACGGTAGTGATGATTTGATAAAATAGAAAAGAATATGGGTGTGTATGTTTGTTTGATTGGACTGAAAAATATCAATGGACTCCGCCTGCTGTCATTATAAATCATCAAGAAACTAAACACTCATACAATATATATTATTACTGCATCTTTAAAATTTGGTCAGATTTAACGGTAAATGAATAATAAAAATTATTTTTGAAGAAAAAATTTCAGGAAAAATGTCTTTTCTTCCATTTTCCATTGATGCAATCCTTAATTCAGGTAATTTTTTTTCTTTTTTTTTGCCTATTTATTTTATTTACAATTTGAATCATATAATAAAATGATACTAAAATAGTTTTAGTTTTTACATCGGCAATATATTAATTGATTTTTTTTTTTTTTTTTTTTGTTTGCTTTTTTTATCCATTTTTTCTTCTGTTAATCAAATTGCTAATAATTAAGAATAAAAAAAAAAAGCCATAAATTATATTTTATTTTTAGCTAAAACTTAATTATTAACAGTTGTAATGAATCAATATGTTAAACTAATCGTTTAATTAATTTTGTAACAAATGTTAGGTTTTATATTTGGTATACAGGTAAGCTATCTGAACAAATACTCTTTAACTTATTCTTTTTTCGGCTGATCTATTATTACAGTGATTCTAGATATTTTACATTAAAAATGTATGAAATTTGCATTTAAGAAAAGTTAGACTGATAATTGGATTGTGAAATTTTAGATTTCACAGTTGATAGAAGATTAACTAGCGTTTGGGCGACCGGATCAACTAATTCATTTTGGCGTGACACCTGGAATGATGAAAAACGGAAATCGTTCGAATGCCCAGAATGTGGCAAGGTTTTCAGTGCGCATTATAATTTAACAAGGCATATGCCGGTGCATACTGGAGCTCGACCATTCCTTTGCAAGGTCTTTTTTCTTTTTTTACAATCTTTCAAATGATATAATTTTGATAACTGCAAATGTTACAGCTTATTATTTGAGATGATAGTTCTTTTAGCTTAATAAAAAGGCATTTAATTCTCATTAAGAAATTAATCTAATCCATTTCAATCTAATTTATTTAGGTTCATTATATCTGAGAAATTTCGTCACCCATCAATTATAAAATTGAAAAATTATTTTTCATGTTTTGAAATTTAACAAATTACTATTAATAAGAAGAATTTTTTGTCAATTAATCCTTTTTTTCCTCTATCCTTTCATCTTCCGGTGAACTATTTAAGCAAATTTTCGTACTAATTTTAATCTATTAATTGAACAGGAAGAAATTTGTGCATATTAGAAAATGGATTTGATGATATAATTTGAGTTATTTTTTGGTTTCATGCCTTTTTTTTTACAAAATTTTGATCTTTTCATATTAGACTTAATTTTTTGGAAAATAATCGAAAAGAATTCAATTATTGGTATTTTGTATAAAATAAATTTATGTAAGATCCAGCTAGCAGTATAGAAATGATGAGTGATAAAGCATTGCTTATTTAGTTGAAGTATTTTGCAATTCCAGTTATTGATAGATATGTTAAATGAAATTTTTGGCTATTTATATTATAAGTCCTATTTGATAAATCAGGTTATAACTGAAAAATAATCAGTTAATTGTTAACGAAAAAATCTTGGTGATTAAACTAATCTTATTTGGATCGTTAATCTATAATAATCTGTAATTAATTTCACCATTGTAAAACATTTATTTACTATTTATTACAATTATACTACTGTTTTAGTTTTTTAAAAAAAATGTAAAAAGAATTTTAATATATTTTTAAAAAATGCATAATTATAAATTCTAAGAATTTTAGGTTTGTGGTAAGGCTTTTCGACAAGCTTCAACATTATGTCGTCATAAAATTATACATACTGAACAAAAACCTCATACAGTAAGTTTTTTTTTTTTTTTTTTCATTCTTTTCTCAAGTAATTCGTTCATTAATTCATGAATTGATGAATAAATAATTTCAAAATATGAGATTTTATAAAAGAAAATAAAAATATGAAATATAATGGATGATGTGTGAGAAGAGAATAATAGAAAAGTAATAATTATTTTCATTATAAATATGACCATCTAAGAAGCTTTTAGTGTGTCACCTGTGGCAAATGCTTTAATCGCTCATCAACGCTCAATACGCATATACGTATTCATTTAGGTTTGTTTCGATTTTTTAATTTTATATGTTATCGTAAAACATTTATTCAATGTTAATTCTTATTTATCAATAAAAATTTCCTCATTTTTAAATTAGATTTTATGAATTGAAATTAAAATGAAATTAATTGCTGAAAATAGAAAAAAAAATAAAAATAAAAATTAATTTAGGCTATAAACCGTATATATGCGAATTATGTGGTAAAGGATTTCATCAAAATGGAAATTATAAGAATCATAAATTAACGCATAGTGGCGAAAAAAGATTCAAATGTAGCGTATGCAATAAAGCATTTCATCAAACATACAATCTAACATTTCATATGCATACACATCGAGAACAGAAACCGTTTGTTTGTCCAATTTGCGCCAGAGGTTTTTGTCGTAATTTTGATCTTAAGAAGCATATACGTAAGCTACATCAAATTACATCATCAAATGATCATTAAATAATTAATATTAATCATTTGAAATTATAATATTCTTATGTCGCCATTACTAATTATAGCAATCAGGAATTGTGTAATATTTGCGCTTACCTATTAATTTAACAAATATTGATTAAATACAATTTTTTTTTAATCCCTCACAAATGCATTACTATAATTGCTTTCATTGTTGGATGATTTGTGGCCTATATATTTTATGTAACTAATCTTCTATCCAACCAATCAGTTGATATGTTTAATTTTATTATGCTTAAAATTTGTAATGGTTATATTTTTACATGAATTTGACTTAACTAATTTGTGCTTAGAGCGAAATAAGTTGAAATAGAGGTGTAATTAATTTTGGATTAAAATTAAACTGCTCAGACTTTTCTTTCAAAATTATGCTCTAAAATTCAAAAAAATAAAAAGAATGGTTAACAAACACATTAACTTTTACTTCTCACTAAATGACTTCTTTTTTCCTATGAATCTCTTTCTTGTTTGCGTAATTGACCTCTCTTCCTTTTCTTATGAATTGTTAATGTTACATCTATTTTTTTTTTTGAACAAATTTGAAAAAATTTTTTTACTCAAACAGAAATTTTGCTTTTTTACTTTTTTTTTACTTAAAATTTTTTTTTACTTTTTCACTCAAAAATGAAAATTTTATCATCAAATATGCAAAATTTACTGCGATTAAATAATTTTCAAATTTATCATTCCTTCATTAATATTTCTTCGCATTATGCAATTTTAAAGATTTGCTGTGAGTAAATTTGAAAATTATTAATTTATTTATTCAAATTTTCAGCTTTTTTATTATTTGTCTTTTTAATTTGTAGTTTTTTTCAAATTGATCCTTGAAAATTTTTCGAAATTTATCAAAAACATTAGGAAATAAAATCTTTTTTTTTGTTTTGTTAAATAGTTAATGTGCAGAAAACTGAAAATTATAATCATTTGATATTTTGTTTTGTTTTGTTTTTGTTTTGTCGTTTTATTTTTTTTTTTTTGCAATGATTATGGAATTTCAAATGATTTATTCGTTTGTCATATGAACAATTGTATGACTGATAACAGGATTCTTCCTACATATTCTTCAATGTTTAAATGAAATCTTTATCAAATATATTGCATTTATGATATGTTATATTTTATGTTATTTGATAAAACAAGGATTTTTTCAAAAAAAAATTCCAACATTCATTGCATTACAAGTATATCATTTAGCAAATTAATTAAAAATTTATTGCATTTTTCTTTATTATTGACATTATTAATTTAATGCACATTAGCATGTTATGATGAAAAAAAATTAAATTTGAATTCAAAAGGTTCTGAAACCTTGAAAAAGATTTAAATCACTTATGCTATAAGCCACTTCTTTATAATACTTAAACATTAACAATTCATTAAGTTTACTGCTGCTTCATTTTTATTGTAATAGAATATTAAGCGAAATCTTCGCAAAAAAAAAAAAAAAAAAAAAAAAAAAAAGAAAGAAAAGGAAAAAATGTACAAATTTTAAATTATATCAAAAGAAATAAGTCTTTTTGAAGATGCAAATCTTTCTTTTTATTATATCAAAATTTCATGGTATTTTTGAATGGTTGATTAATCTTTCTTATATATTTCAATTCTTTCTGTATTTGAGAAGTTCAATAATTTTATTTTTTTTTTTTTTGCATGTTTCCCTTAAACGGTTTACCGGAAATACGGTAAATTAGCTTGCGACATGCATAATATACGACATGTTGACGCCTACCTTGCGCACATCGTTTGCTTTTTGCAAAAAAAAATTAGGCAAAAAAAGAAAAAGAAAAGAAAAAATTTTGTAAGAAGTAAAATATTGTCTAATGGATAATGAAAAAGACTCATGAATAGTTTTTGAGAATTTTTTCAATTAGTAATGAATAAAATATTTTCAAAATTTGAGTGAAATATTTCAATTACCGGATTTGATAATTGATTGTAGCAATCGAAAGTTTATTAAAATCTAAATAAATGTTAAATGAGAACCAATTTTAGCCTATTTTTTTAAAAAACAAGCTCTCAAATCTCTAAATTGAATAAAATTTTTATGAGAACAAAAATTAACATTAGCTTTTTCACAGCATTTTTTTGACATACAACAAATTTTGTGCATTTTTTTTTTCTGCATAAGAAAGGTTATCAACCAAATTAACATTATGTCTTTTTTTTTCAAAGCCGAAAAAAAATTTTAAGCCAAAGTTTCTGCTATTTTCAACATTGCTTTTTCACTTATTTGAATTTCTTGTCAAATTGAATTCTTTTTTCCTAGAAGTTAAATTTTCGTTATATTATAGACCAGAATAGTTTTATCTGGAATCGTTTTTTGTAGCTAAGAAATTATTGATTAAAAATTTAATCTAACATTTTAAATGATTAATTAGATTTTAATTCAAATGGAAATGATTTGAATAGATTTGAGGAGGTTGATGGCCTCCTATAATCATAAATCTCACAAAATCTCATTTAACATTTGTCGAGAATAATTTATTTGCAATAGTAGAGATATTATCTCATTGTTAGCTTTTTCTCTTCGTAATTCAAATTTTAGCAAAATTTTAATAAATAAATTTTAATTCGATAAAGAAACAAATTATTATCTTACTTTTTGTATTTCAACCTCAAAAAAATTTTTCATCAATTTTAAAATCTTTGTAAAAGTATATGTTTTAACTTTTTGTTACTAATCAATGTTGTAATCCTTAGAAATTTTGTTACTAATCAATGTTGTAATCCTTAGAAATTTTCAGTCAAATTTTAAATGTTTATCAAGATTTGTTCACTTCTATTTATTTCTTTTCTATCCAATTATTCTTTTCATTTACTGATCAGTTTTTATTATTTTCACGATAATACGGTTATTATATGATTGATTTTAATAATTCATATTTATTTATTATATATATTTTTTATTTATTTATGTTTTTATTTTTCCTAAATTTTTCATATTTATTTTTTTTTTTTTTGTTTTTGAAAATGAGATTTTGACGTGTTTCCCTTTTTTTTTTTTTTTTTTCAAAAAATAGTTACTGCTAATTTGTAGCTTCCATATTGTAATTTATCAGAATTTTTTTTTTTTTTTTTTTGGATGTTATATGTAAAAGTTTGAAAACAAATGTAAACCCAAAACTGTTTTACAGTAGCTAAAAACGACCCAAAATTTGATGACACAATGATGTTTGTACAATTGAACGAATGCTAAAATGAAACATTTGTTTACAATAAAAGTAAGCATAACATTAATCCATTTTCTGTTTATTAAATATTTACTAGGAATCTTTTTGGTCACCAGACATCATTGCTATTTTCATTTATTAATTTATTCAACAAACTTTTTCATTTTGAACATTATTGTCATATATTAATACCATTTGTAAATGTTAACAAAAATTACTGTTGTAAAATTTAACATTTCTTATCGTTTATAAATTGCAATACCATATGAAATAACAGAAATTTGTTATTTATAAATCAATAAATTAATCAAATAAATTATTTAAATGAAAATTGAAATTTACTAATAAATACAAAAATTGTGAATGTAACATCCAATTATAATAACAACTTCAAAAAAAAAAAAAAAAAAAAAAAAATGTTAAAATGAGCTAAAATATTAAGTTATTGAATGAGTTTTTTTAAGAAACAAAATGCAATAAAATTATTAAATAAATCTTTAGTCTAATTTATTTGGGTCCAAACTTTATCAGAATTAAAATTTTTTTAATTAAATTTTATTTCCATCATCAAACAAAAGCAAAACAAAAAAACGAAAAGCAAAAATAATGTTGCTTAATTTTTCAATTATTTTCCTTTTCAATTTGCATTCATATTCATTAAATTTTTGTAAAAAAAATTCATTAAATTTATTAAATTGTAAAATTTAAAAAGACAATAGCAAATTGATTACGATCATTTCATCTTTTTAACATAATAATTCTCCATTTTCATCTAATATTTCAATGTTTGAAATGATAAATTTTGCTGCACCAAATTCGATAAATTTATCATGCACCGCAAGAATTGTAAAATTTTGTGCATCGTGATCAAGTGGCACGATTATTTTTTCTGTTATTGGCAGTTCTATTTTTGGGCCTAATATTGGTTGACAATCAAACAGAGTGTTGAAATCATCACCGCACAAGAATGTCTGAGAACCAAATGTTGATTGATAGATCTGAAAGTTATCAACAATTTAAATTTAATTAATATGAAATAATTTTTGTTAGCCATAATAAAGAAGTTAAAAAGTATTGAAAGTAATCATTAACGCATTTTTGTGTTTTTCTATTTCGAAATAAAAAAAATTACAATTTGGGTAGGATAAAAAGAAAAAAAAGGAGGTTGAACTTATTTTTCACTCCAACCTTTTTTTCTCTTTTTTCTTTCTTTATTTATTAATTTAATCTGTTTCTAGGAAAGATCATTTTTTCTGGGACTAAGAAAGATGATAATCAGGAAAAAAAATGAGATGTAAACAATTCTTCACTTAGAAATTTCTCGTGAACGAATTGTCAATCAACTAGATCAAAGTTTGTTTAAACAACTAATTAATAACTCTTTTTTAAGATTATTTCTTATTCTGTTTAAAAAATAAGTAAAACAGAATTAAAAAGCTAGTAACTGTTAGTGTTCCACTTTCTTGCACTAATTCATGAATGCTGTATGAAAACGCTACATTATACCGTTCCGTGCATCAATTTTCAACTGACTGCAAATTTGAAAAGCAACCTTAATTTGCAATTCAGCCGGGCGTGAAAGCTTGAACTGTGGTGATCGCAATACGGCTAAACCTGGTCCTTTGTCAATATCTGCTATCACTCCTAAACATATTAAGCAAATAATAATAATGAAAATAATTATTATAGCACTGAATATAGTTGATGACTTTTCATCATTAATTGCAACTATTCAAACGGATAAAAACTTAAACTAGTAATTACTAATAAACTGTTGTTAGTAAGCTAATGATAAGCTTCATTTAATATGCTGAAATTAAGTGATGAACATATTAAATCAAACGTAATGTTACAAAACAAATGCAATAAACAAACCCCTCATAAGTTTTCAAAAATATATATATAATATTTAAAAGAAAAATCTTTGATTTACCTCTTCCATCACTTTTGAATAAAACATTAGCACGTGAATTTATTTCTGTTTTGTAGTTGCAAAAAGTTTGACGGAATGTACAGCTAAGTTTTTCGCATGCGTATCGTGATAATGTTGGAAGTGGACACCAGTTGCCTGTCGTTTCAATTTTCCGGATAACAACAAAACCGGGTCCAGTTGATTTTGCGATTAATCGAATAAAAAATGATTCCTTATAATTAACATTCATCGAAAGCCAACCGAAAATTAGTAAATCCAAAAATTATTAATTTATATTTTCAAAAAAAAAGAATTATTGATGAAGAAAGTGAATGATGCCACTACTTTCATTTATTATCATTAACATTTCATCAATCATTTCAAATTTTTTAAATTTTGAAAAATATTTTACCGGAACGTCTATCATTAGTGCTAACACAATGTTTCGCGATGCATACCATTAAGTTAGCTTCTTCAGTTCGAAAGTATGCAATAAAAATCTTAGCATTAGATGCGCATGGAACTTTTCGGGATTGTAATATAGCCATGGTATTATTTAGAACAGCAACCGAAACTTGATCTGAAAATGATTATTGGGAAGGAAAATTAAAAGGATAGATATGTTTATGAGTTAGATCATTTATATTATTAACATAAGTATCATTCAAATACTAATTTTGGAATGCAATTAATTTAGTAATTCATAAATTTACTATTATGGTGATATATAAATTCAACAAATTTTAAAATTTATATAAATTTTAAGCCTTTTATTGATGATGATGATGGTAATGTAAAAGATTCGTCACATGGAATTGTCCCAAGTAACCAATGTCCATCATTTTCCCATTGCGGACATGTATTTTGATTAAAATCACAATTCAATGTTGGTATGTTATCCTAAAGTTAGAAAAAAAAAAAAACACTATTTTGAAAACTTCTCAAATAATCAGTAACAATCAGTGCTGCTTAAAAATATTTTTTCATTTACAATGATTGTAGTGAAAAAAAGTGTTAACAATGTTGAAAAAATAGATAAAATTATTGAAAATATTGCTTAAATTTTCCCTTATTGTTTTTATTAAAAAAAATTTTTTAAAGCATTTTAATTTATATTAAAAAAAATTCTGCGAGTGAAAAAATTCAAAAATTTGATTCAAAAAAAAAAGGATTTTATTATTATTCAAAAAGTATTATTTTACAAATTATATTAATTTGTGTATTTTTTTATTCATATAATGATAAAGCTTAATTTACTTACAATTAGCAAATTTGGATATGGATGAAGTGAGAAAAGTCGTTTGATTTGTAATGGATCGATTGTTGTAGTGGTTGGTACAGTTACTTCATGACATAATAAACCAGTAAATTGCATATCATCAATTACAACAAGGCCAAATGTTGAATTATCAAAATTGATCAATTCAAATATGAACTGTAAAATGAAATTTGAAAAAATACTTTCCTGATGTTATATATATATATATATGAAATATTGTAAATTAATATTATTAATGAAAGACTTCATTAACTATTCATGACAATTTTTATAATATCTGTCTTATTAGTATTATTATTTGAATAATGGAACAAAAATCAATTGCGTTATGCAATTTGATATAACAATTTAAATCTGTAAATTATCAATTTTTTCAAGAAAAAGTCCTCATTTCATACTCGGAAAGGTTCTTCAGTTGGTGCATCAACATCAATACTAACTGGTCCGGGCATTGCTAGTTCATTTAGATACACACAGCTAATTATAACATTTGATGCTGTAACTGTACAAACTTGAACTTGTGTACCTGTTTGCAGCCAATATCTGTAAATAGAAATAATTTTAAATTCAAATTTTATTAAATGTAAATTTAATAAAGATTCAAAAATATTTGATAGAATGTTTTTATAATAAAAAAATTATTACTAATAATTCAATTAAACAATTCAGTAAATGAGTGCTGCATTCTCAAACATTTAACATAAATAATCAATTTTAAATATCATTTTATTGACAAAAAAAATTTTTTTTTTTTTTTTTGCTGGAACTGTAGATTTTGCAACAATATGTAAAGTTATAAAAATTTAAATTAAGACAAAATTTCAACAAAAAATTATAATTTTTTTCCTATTTCTTTTCATATTAAAATTTTTCACATTATTTATTAAATGAAATTGCTTATTTTTTGAAAAAACAAAAACAAAAAAAGAGAAATGAGAAATAAAATGGGAAAGCATTGACAAAATACTTTATTTTATAGTTTAAAAATCCCTATAATCATCAAAAATTAAATATAATATAACAAACCTAAATGAAAAAGTTGTAACAGTGCTGGTGCATGGAATAAGTTCTGATCGTAGCAATGAATAAGGTTCTTGAATAACTGAATCAACATATTGATAGAAAAAGCTGCCAGTTGGTTTACTTTCTGTTTCGAAAATTTCCTTCCATCGTCGACGATTCCGTCCAATTTTCCATTCGGCTAATGATGAAAGTGTATTGGACCAACGACAGCTTGAGTTGTAATCAACACAGGAAAGATCAGCAGCAGAAATTGGATATGAATTAATTAATGACGGTGGAACTGCTCGAGCACCAAAAATTTTTGATAATTCTAAATTTTGTTTGTAATTTTCTTTTTCTTTAAATTTTCTATATGCATAATTTCAACTTAATTTATGACTTTTTTAATAATAAATTATTATATTAGTTACTTAAATTTAATGATTTTTATGGCTTCTTTTGTATGTTTTAAATATTTGATTGATTTGCAAATATTATATGCAAATTCAATTAATAGTTAGGAATGCTAAAATTAATTGCCAGATTATTGTTTAATTATTATGATTTTTGTTAAAAATTACAAAATACTGTCATAATTTGATTAAAGAATCAATTTTTTTTCGAAAAAAAAAAACTTTTATCAACTCACTAGGTTCCAAGCATATTTCAGCTTTATATTTAATATCAGTTATCATCCCAAGACTACCTAATGCTGAATCTCTTAAACCATGGACACGAATACCAATTCGAAATGGTTCACTAATTTCTGGTATTTCAATTTTGCAACGATCATTAAAAGTACGAATGAAGTAGCATTCGGTATGCGGCCGTAAAATAACCTTCAAACATTAATGTTATTTATTTTTTACACAAATTTGATATTTTATAAACTGAAAAATGAAAATCTCAATAGTAAATGAATGAAAAAAAGGAGCCAGGTAGTTAATAACCTGATGACGATTCCTTCTGGTAGAAGGTTTTAAAATTAATACTTCAATTTTTGCTTCATTGTATAGCCAGTATCTAAAATATTTCAACTTTTATGGATAGATCTAGTTTTTTAATATATGAAATTGCACATTATCTTATTTATTGGATGAAATTTTAGGGAAATGATCTTTTTGTCTTTTTTTTATTTCAAAAATTAATTAAAAGAAAATGATGAAGTAAAACTGTTTATATTTATATCACCATAAAGGTTGACTTATTTTCTGTGCTTAATTAAATTACCTGAAATCCAGTGATCCGGATGCTCGTTGACATGCAATTGGTGCGCTAATAAGTATAGCACTTTGAGATTTTGTTGTTGTATTACCTGCGAGAATAAATTTTGTACCTGAAAATAATTCATTTGCTAAAAAAAGAAAAAAAGTCTTTTTATGACTCAAAAATGATTTATTCTCAAAAAAAGAGAAAAAAGTCTATATTTATTATATAAAAAAAATGAGTTATTTCAATCTAAAACTAATCTAAAATCAATTTTCAAAAATCCTTAAGACCGCAAAAAAAGCATTCATCATGATTCAAATTTTTTGTTCCTTCTTTTTGCCCTTTTATTAATAATTATTTTTGCTACAAATTTATTCTGTTATTATAATTTTTTAAACATCTCTTTTTTCTTGAAAGAAAAAAGCAAAAAAAAAATTTTTTTTTATTTTATGGTCAAATTTTTGCTGTTTGCTTCTGAAAATTAAAAGTTCTTTTTGATAATATGAAAAACCTTTCAATGGATCAGGTGGTCCTGGCTGAATGTGTGGTGGAAATAATTTAGTGTTTGTTTTAACAAATAAATAGAAATCTGATGTATCTAATAAATCATCATCAGGAGCATTCATCCAGGCGCATCGTTCATTGAATTGACAATTTAATTTTGATGAATTGCTTAGATATTGTTTAATCATAGTTTCTGAAGAAAAAGAAAATTAACTAATAATGAATTTTTTTTCTTTTTTTTGAAAAAAATTTGAACCATTTCATTTTTTTTTTTTTTTTTTTTGAGATTCTTAATTATTCATTTATAAATATTTGCAAAAAGAAATATATATATATTATTTTTTTTTAAATTATAATTTTTTTACAAAAAAAAAAAATTTTTTAATAAAAATATACCTTCAATAGGTAAATTACCCTGATTTTCCGGTTGTATACCAAGATAATAATCTAAGTATTGAAGTTCTTCCTGATACCGTGGCATACATCCATGAATAAAGTTTAAAAGAAATTTAAGAAGTATGAACAACAACATCATCATCCACTGCATTGTTTCAACATTTACAGGAGTTTGAGATGATTGTTCATTTAACAATAAATCACTTTCACCCATTTTCGTGCGAGATAATTCTTGAAATTGTAAAAACCGGCTTGAAAAACTTTTCAACTATTCGTTAATTTCATTCCGTTTAATTTTTTTCTATTTTATTTTTCCTTTTTATTTGTTTTTAACATTTAAAAGGTTTATTTCTAGATATTAAAAAAGAAAAAAAAAATATTGCATAAATGAATATGTTTATATGTTGCGAAAATTTTTTTTACTTAACATAAAATTCTGAAAAATCTTTATTAATCCTAATAAACAATTTTATAATCAATAAAATAAATGAACTGAAAAAAAAGTTTTTCGTTTTTTTTTGTTTGTTTCTTATTTTTAGAACTGATTTTTAGAAATACTTATAGGATATAAATTTTATAGTTGAAAAATTTGAATTCCTGAAAATCTCCTGAATTACTTACTACTTCAGATTAAAATATATACAATGCATATTAATCAATAATCTCTTGCTGTACTTCAAAAAGATTAAAAAAAATAAACAATGAAAAGAAAAACAGACTGAAAAATGTTTTGTTTTTAATTCTTTCAGAGAGTACAAAAAAAATTTCTTTTAATTAATAAACGAAATCGTTGACTGATGCAGTCCGTCAGTTTTTGGCTAATTTTAAATTTATTATTTTAGAAAGTACCTTTGGAAGAATTTGTTATTCTTTTCCAAAAATTTTCCACATTTAACCACCATTAATTATGCTACGTGAGGATAATTCACGTTTGCGATCAACAATATAATGATCATGAAAAAATGAAAGTAAAAAAAAAATGAGAGTAATAAAGTTTAAAAATTGAATCGTGCTGAATCATTGAGTATTGAGTGAAAAATTAAGATTTTAACATTGAAATTTTAGCATCAGAGTTTTCATAGCACTGCTTTATTTGAAAAAATTTTCATTTTATGTCAGTGATGCAGCAGTTAAGCCAAATAGATCATTGATATAAGTATTTGAACCAAGCTTATGTTGCCAAAAACTATTAAATATTTTTAAAATATTTCGTTCGATTTAAATATTGATTGAATTAAACGAAATACTTTGAAGAATAAGTTGTCGGTAATTTAGATCGTTTGATTATAGCTGTTGAAGCTCGATGTCTCTTGAACAAAGTTGACATTTTCACTAAACTTATTGCTATCATTTTTTAAATTGTGGCCACAAATGTAAATCTGATAAATTTATTGTTTTGGAAAGATATATGAATTGTTAAAATTAATATAGTTTTGGAAATTTTTCAAATTCATAAAATTATTTAAAACAATCATGCAATAAGTAAATGTTGCTTAGTAGTTTCACTTAATTAAAACACTTGCATTTGAAACGGAAGTTGTGTCTAACAATCAGCTGTTCATTTAATTGGATTAAACTTTTTTATAATTTGTTTGAAATTGAAGGGAAAAAAAATAAAGGAGAACCGAGAAGGTTATAAGTCGTTTGATTGCAAAAAAAAGTTAGTTTATTTTAAAACCTATTACATTACAAAATGAAATTGACGTTGTTTGATCGGATTGTAATTGAATTGAAATATTTGAAATATCAAATTGGTTTAGTGTTTGTAAGAAATTAACTTAGCATACTTTGTAAACATTAGATTAAGTCATTTTTCTCACTCATTCCTTCAATTTCATTTAATTTTTTCTTCAGATTCATCCCTATCTCTTTTTTGTTCTTTCTTTCTCTTTTCTTTCATTGTTTATTTAATGTTCGTCGTTTTTTAATTTTTATTTAACTTCATTTTCAATTACTCATTACATACTTTATTCTATTTTTGATTGTTTGGAATTACTTCAATGCTTAAAACTTTTTTCACTTTCAATTTTTTGGAAGTTTCTCTTTTTTTTTATGAAATAGTATGAAAAATTTTTGTAAATTTGTGAAATATTATGCTATTTTGAATCCTTTTTTTCTTTGCTTCAAAACTAATTTTATCATATAAATTAGCAAATGTAATAATATTTTAAGTTTTTTGCTGCATTTTACCATTGATACTTCTTTCCCGTTTTCTTTTCTGTTTTTGAAAAAAAATAGCCACAACAGATATTTAAAAAATGATTCACTATTATCTGAAAAGTGCTGGAAATTTGTTGGAGAAATGGTAAAAAATGAATAAGTCATAAAATTTGTAAAAATTAAAAATTATTTTTAAAAAAAGGAAGAAAAAATATTCTATTGACATTTGATAATAAATGATAAGATGGGAAAATGATTTATTCAATAATCTCTCATTTATTAATGATAGTAAAGGTTAGGATGAAATATCGAAGGAAGTCTTTAAAAAAATGAAAGAAGTTGATGAAATATGAATAAATATTAAAAAACTTACTCAAATGCTTCATTTAAATTAGTGATAACATTTGATTTTCTTTTAGATGTATTCATGTATTATTCGTTCATTTTCTTTTTTTTTTTTTTTTCGTTTTTGAACTATTAGATTAGTACTTCTCAATTTTTAAGATTTTAACAAAAATGACATCTGTAGTGTTAAATTTTGACGAAACTTTATTTGAATTATTGGTGCATCTTCTTTCTTCTCACTTTCTCAAGCAATGAAAAGTCGTTAACTTTATTGCAACTTCTTCCCTTTTCCTTTTCATCAATCCTTGGTTGACCCCTCGAAAAGAATGACAGGGAACAAAGGATGAAAGGAAGAAATGAAAAGAGACAAAAAGAAAGCATGAAGAAAGGAAGGAAGAAAGAAGAGATTAACTTAAAAATTTCATTTTTTGAATGTCCACCAAGAAATATGTGATCAAATTTTGGGTACAAGAAAATCTAAAAAAACCGTAGCTATTTTCCAATTTATTGTTACAAAAAAAAAAAAACCAAAAATAAAATATTCATTCATTACAAATATATTACTATATTTCTTATTATAACTGGGATAAAATATAATATAACATTATCATAAAATTTCAATCATTAATATTAACAAATTATCAAATAATGTCCAAATTGAAAATATAAAATTTCGGGATGGAAAAGAAAATCATAAAAAAATATCATGATGAATTTTTAGGAGAAAATAATAGAATGGTGAAAGATAAAAGAGAAAGAGCGATAAATGAGGAGAATGAGTGAAGAGGAAGAGGGAAGAGGGAAATTGAAAAACTGAAAGACGAAAAACACAATCCTGGATAATCAGTTAAAAACATCGGAAATCTGAAATGTATTATTTATTGATTATAGTGAAGGTTTTTTTTCTTTTTTTTTACGCTTACATTTACATAAATTACGATTCACAATTCCTTTCATTTCTTTACAACTTCCTCCTCCTTTCTCTTTCCACTCTTTCATATTTTCATTATTATTCCTTTCTTCCATTTCATTTCACTCTGTTCCACTTCGTTTTATTTCATTTCATTCCATTTCACTATTTTATGTTATTTCGTTTCACTTTATTTTGTTTTATTTTGTTGTATTTCATTTCATTTTTTTGTTTATTTTTCATTTCGTTTCATGTCATTTTATTTCACTTTATTCTACTCCATTCCATTTCATTCTCTTCTATTTGGTTTCATTGCTTTCTATTCCATTTTATTCAATTCTATTCATTCCACTTTATTCCATAAATCGATATGTTACAAAAAATTATAGCTGATAGATCCTTATGTTTGAAAAAAAAAAAAAAAAAACGATGCAATTTCACCATACTTCTCCGGTTTCTTCCGGTTATATTTTCATCATTTCTGAATCACTCTGATACCATCCATTCATTATCATATTTACACAAGTAATGAGATGAGACATATATCATGCCGTAAGTAAAGTTTAAAGTTGCAAATTGATGAAAATTGTTACATTTTTATCCGATACTTTCATTTCTAAGTTTGAATTATTTAATTTTACATTTCGATGTTCAATTCTGGAATGTTTTCAAAAAACATAAATTATTTTAAAAATACGAGTCTAAAATTTGAAACAATTGATTTTTTCCTATCTTTAAAATTTCACTTGAATTTTTAATATTCAACATATAATTAATTTGAATATAAAATTTGGTGAAGAAAATAGATTCATTGGAATGATAATATTATGTATGATATTAAGTTGAAAATATTATGCTTAATTCATCCCAAACGATATAAAATGAATCATCATGAGAGGGTTCAGATGATACACCTCAATCAAGGACAAATGTCTATTTTATCCATTTATTTACCATACTTCAAATATGTTGAAATAACTTTTCCCTATATTACGAGAAAGTAATATCTATTTGTAAATATTACAGATATTACTGTCTATAAATAATATAAACTTGTAAAATGGAAAACAAATTTCATTCCAGTTCTAAAAAGAAAGAATTCTAAAAAAAATATTTAAGCTATTCAATAAAATGTCTCATTTACTTTTTTCTTCAACATTCATTTCACTTTACTCATCTTTCTTTTTCATAAAATTAACTCCTTTTTTAAAAATTTCCATTCATTCAACAATTAATCTTTTAGTGTTATATTGTCTTTTTTCTTCCATTGTTTTTATTTCCAATTTTCATTACATTACAAATAACATTTCATATTTACTTGTTTACGATAAATTCACACAATAAAAATAGTTAATTCTTCTAATTTTGAAATTTAAGATGAAATTTAATTGTTGTAGAAAAAAGAAAGAAAAAAAGAGCAAATATTTACCCCTAATTTTTTCTCTGCCTCTTCCCTCTTCGTTTATTGAACAAACTTTTTCAATCCTTTTTATTTTGTAAATCATTCATTTTCCCATCCATACCAACAATCTTGCTCATTCATAGCATCACTATACATCAGTTTTAATTTTAATAACAATATTTCTTTACAATTTATTAACAAATACATCGATAATTTTTAAAACTATTGCCTTGTTACTCTAAATCTATTCCAAATTTATTTCTCACTTATCTAGCTTAGCTTGTCTTGCATGATTTAGTCTTATCTAGTCTAGTCTAGCCCAGCCTAGCTTAACCTAATCACATTTTCTTTTCCCTCTCTTTCTCCACATTCTTTTATTTTATCAACATTTTTTTTC